TTCCAATTATCTTGAGGAGGAAAAAAGAACCCATAGGACAATTATGGAAATTATTATACTTGTAAGTAACTATAACTGAAATTTATAGTTTTGATTCCAAGTGTAAGAGATAATCAAACAAGGAAACAAATAACATACGACAGAGTATTATGAAAGTATTTTTAGAGAAATTGTATTTGAGTTCAACCTAGTGAAAAAGAACAAGTATACTATTTTAGATAGTAAGAATTGTATGGGAAAGAGAGAAATAAAGAATTTTTGGCTGTGAAAATTATAAGGTACTAGCTTAGTGAAAGTGGAGCAATTTGTATTGAAAATACTAAGAAATTAAGCCATAAAAATAGGACAAAACTGGTTATGATAGATAGTGGTTGAAATCCAGTAGAGAAGTTTGTATTTGAAATGATGTGTATAATTAAAAGTTCATGTAGGTTCTTGAAGAGAGGAGTAACATAATCAATTCAATAGTAATAATAAAAATAATAATAATAGTAATAATACTAGTTAACACTCACTATGTTGACTATGTGCCAAACCCTGTTTGAAGTGCTTTGTGTATACTGATCCATTTTGTCCTGAAAAGGGCTTTATATGATTAAAATTAAACTGGTTAACTTTATGTCAATATATTATTTCTTATGCTCTAGAAAAGATACATGTATGTGTGTGTGTATATATATATATATATATATATATATATATATATGGTTTATGATAGTTTACTTTCATATCATACAATGTTATATTCAGTTCTTTTGATAAAACTGATTATTTGACACTGATTTATCTAGTCAGTATGTAATAAATATTTAAAGATACCTGTATCAATTATTTTGTCAAACTTTAAGAATATAAAGAGTTAACATGTTTAGGTACTAACTGTCCATTTAAATGTGTAGCAAACAGGTAATTTTAAATATTACTAACATGTTACCACCCTAGGCATTAATAGTTAAAATCATGAATCCCATTCTTAAATTCATGAAGTATATACTCAGGGTTTTTTTTTTTTTTTTTTCAGTTAAAAAAGGATTGTCTCTCTTTGCTGAAGTTAACATTGAGTATGCCCTCTACTTATGTAGAAATAAAATATATAGCAGATAAAATTGCAAAATAAAATAGAAAAATATTGACTTGAAAATTATGAAATGCATGCCTTGTATTGACCTTTCCTCCTCTTCTTTGCCTTACATTTTTCTTAGAAAGAACATCCAAAGTGCATCCAAAGTTTACTATTAAGTTGTTTAGCTTACAGATGTAAGCCTCACACTATTTCTTTTAATGTGTCTCTGTTATTTGAACATTTCCTTAAATTCTGGAACAGAAGATGATCTAGGCTCATCTTATACTTCCTCAGGTCCAGATCTGTGGTCTGTTTTTTTTTCAAGGAACCTTTAATGTATATATTCATGTACATACATATGCATACACACAAAAAACACAAGTATTTCTATTTTAAAAATTATTATGAATCATAAACTTTTACTGATACTTCTAATTTGAATCCACTTTAAATAGAAAGAAGTTTCAGGATTAATTCAAACGACTGTTTAAAACACAACTCTTAACTACAGTTCAGTTTTTTTTGTTTTTTTTTTACAATTCTCTATGTATTTAGAATAAGAACATATTGTCAAGTATTTCACTCATTCATTTTAAAGCATATTTCCAACTAGGATTTTAAAGTATATAAAAATCTTCACTGTCATTGAAACAACAATAAATCATCAGAAAATTGAAATACTTACACTTTTTTAAAGCTATCAAATAGCTGTGGCATAAAAAATAAAATAACTAAAAACTAGAGTAATGCTCCCTTCTTAGCTTCTACTTTTTTTGGGGGGGTGGTGGTGGGCACAATATCCATTTCACAACTGAAATTTACAATACATGAGAGATAGGCAGGAGAGTGTAATCCATGGTCAAGAGAAAAATCAGTCAATGAAAACCAACATGGAAACAAGGTCGTTAAAGCAACTATGAAAAATAATTTAAAATATCTATAGAAAAAGATGAATATAATAAACAAAGCAAGGGAAAACTAAGAGAGATTTGGAAAAATTTAACTCACTAGAAATCATCTGCAATAAAACACAGAGTAAAAGAAAAATTGAGTATAAATTGCACTCACTCTACAACCTGTAAGGCACTCTCAATTATTGAAACACATATGTATTTAGAGTCCAAGAAAGAGTTAGAGAGTGAATTGGATGAAAAAATGAGGAATTATTTGCAGATAAATTTCTAATTTGATGAAAAAATCTATCCACCTCTCCAGGAAGCTCAGAAAATGGTAAGAAGAGTAAATACTAAGTAATCACCTTTATGTAACTTAAGGCATAATAGTCTAACTGCTAAAATCCTAAAATAAAGAGAATAAAATAAAATAATTAGAGATAAAGGACATAGTAAATCAGGGAAACAATTATAAGAATAAAAACTGATTTATATTAGAAACAATGGAGTCTTGACCATAATAGAATATTAGTTTTCTAGTTCCAAAAGAAAAAATTTATCTCAATCTAAAATCTCTATCAAGTGAAACTAACTTTATATTATCAATGTAGCTAAATAAAGACATTTTCAGGTAAATGAAAGCTGGGAGAGTTTATTGCCATCAGACCTGCACTACAAAAAATACTAAAGAGGTTTCTTCCTCTTGGAGGGTATTGATACTAGATTGATGCCTGCTTCTATAGAAATAAATAAAGAGCCTCATAAATGGTGAAGAAAGGGGTATGTATAAAATAATTTTTTACTTTCACGTGTATATTCTTCTTTAAAAAGATTCTTAACTGAGCAAGAAGGAGTAAAAGAAATTATGCTGCTGTAAGGTTCTTACAGTGTTCACAAAATAGGATAATTTTACTTGATGGTAGACTGTTACTAGTTAAAAATTAATGTTGTAATCTCTAGACAGAATTAGCAAGCTTCAGTGCAGGGGCCACATGTGGCATGCAGGTAGGTTTTGTAGGGACCATGAGTTAAAATTCCTTTTCACGTTTTCCATTGACTGAATTTTCTTAAAAGGAAAACGTGATAGAGAGGATATGTATGAACTTTAATACCTAGAATACTTAATATCTGTCTCTTTATAGGAAAAATTCTGGTACCTACTTAAGATCAACCACCTTAAAAATGCAAACATACATGTAAGAAAAAGAGGTAGTTAAAATATAAATGAATGAGATGAAATAAAGACAATAAACCCAAAAGAATAAATGGAGCAGGTAAAAAAATATATAAATGAGTAGAATGTTAGAATTAAACCTAAACATAATTTTATTAACAATAAACATTTAAAAATTTCAGAACATGGATCAAATGGGCTAATTCTTGAGAAATGTGAATTGTAAAAATTGATGAAGAAAAAGTATATAAACAAGCCTTTTGGCTTATTCAAAAATTGAAATTGGATTGATATGTCACCTTTTCCCAAAATAGCCCAACTAAGATTTTCTTCAAGTAAGCTCTAGAACATCTTTAAGGAAAAATTATTTGCTTTCTTCTGTAAGTTGTTATACAAAATTATAAAGAGTTTAAGATGCCAGCTCATTTTATGAGGCGAGTATAATCTTGATTAAAGAGGCAACTAAGAAAATACAAGAAAAGAAAATAGCATGTTCATTTCTCTTATGATTTAAATAGAAAAATACTAAAGATAATTTTGATTCAGAAGAAAGGCATTTTATGAATTTTAGCATCCACATGTTTTAATCTGTTTAGCAAAGCTAAAAGTTAAAGAGGTCTTCCTGACTTGGTAAAGCTTATACACCAATACTTTCAGCAAGCATACTGCTGAAAGGAGACCCTAGATGTGACTCGTTTAAGGTAGAGAATAACACAAATTTTCTCCCCTGGCACAGCTGCCATTTAACATAACACTGAGGTCCTGGATGAAGTTTAAAGAAAAGCAAAAAAAAAAAAAGGAGTTATAGAGAATGAACAGGAAGTGGTCAAAATAGGATTGTTTGCAGATGATATAATAATCTACCTAGAGGACAAAGCAGTTGAATAAAAAGGACTAGTAAGATAATTCAGTACCTGTGCCAGAAAAAAGATGGATCCATGAAAGTTCCAGCTAATGAATTCTAAACCAACAAAAATCAACAAGTAAGAATTTTTTAGAATTTTTTAAAAAAGTTACTGTACATAATATCAACAAACTCTAAAGTAAATAAGAATCAAAAAAGAATACACAAGACAATTTTAGAAAAAAAAGTTAAAATTTGAATAAAAAGCAGACAAGATATTCTGAGTATGTGGAGAGATATTTTATATTTTTGTATTGGATGACTTTATATAATAAATATACCAACTATTCCCAATTAAATCAGAAATTCAGTGTATTTTTAATTAAAATTCCACGTAATTTATTTGAAGAGCTTACTTTAAATTTTATATGAAGAATAAAACTCTGCTAATAATTAAATAAAAAAAATAAAAAGGGAGGATTTGTTTAATTGGTAATAGGCTATTTAGAATCATAGTATTACAAAAGTATTGTATTGGCACAAGAATAGGCAAATAAGCAAAAAGAAAAAAAAGCAACAGATCACTGCACATTCAGGACTCAAATTTGCAATATAGTTGGCTCTGTTAATTCACTGGGACAAATCAAATTCTTTAGTAGTTTCATGAAATATGGATGAGTATGTAGAGAGAAACAAAATTGGAATCCTATCCAAAAGGATGAAAGACCTAGATGTGAAAGAAAAAAAATGTATTAAAAATTATAGAAGGAAATGTAAGACAATGCTCTGTGACAAACCGTTGGAGCAGAATTTCCTAAATCAGATTTTAAAAGTGCAATTCATAAGGTGATAAACAGATAGATGGATAGAGGATACATATACACATAATGAATGATAGATAGATAGGCAGTTAGATAGATAGATGATAGATAGATAGACAGATAGATAGATAGATAGAGTCCTCTGCACTGCATTCTTGTTGACACTTACATTCGTGGCCTAAATTAGATCCTGTGACTCTTTCAGGCTTGTTCTGAGCTCAGTCTCCGACTATTTTGCTGCCATGTTTACAAGTGATGTTTGCGAAGCCAAGCAAGAGGAGATCAAGATGGAAGGCATAGACCCAAATGCTCTCTGGGACCTTGTCCAATTTGCATATACAGGTACAGTAAAAGAATTATAGCTTCATGTTAATGTCTTGTGAATGTTAGAATTTGAACACAGGTTTTAAAGCTTAAAAAAAAAAAACTGTTGAGCATGTATCTTTCATTTTTTTAGTTGAGAAAAATCAGACTACCTTTTCATTTGTCACTGAAATCATCAATGTACATATGTATACATATGCTCTACACTCTTCCACAAAGAATTTAAACTGGTTTATAATAATAGTCAGTGGAATGAGCTTGGGAGAGGAGAAGAGAGGTTATTGATTATTAACTATGAATTTGTTTATGGTCAAACTTAGAACATTAAGAAAAAAAATTTTAATTTTCTTCCTTTTAGAAAATGATGGGTTCAAATAACTATTTTTTTTTCTTGTATTGTGTTTATTTCAATATTAAGTCCTTCACAAAATGGACTTGGCAAACTTAGTTAAAAAGGAAAATGAAGATAACTAGAGTTGTGAAAATGGCTATTTTGGAAGCTTTTTCTCCTGATCTACTATGCTTTTTTTTTCTATTGGCCTTTGCACCATATTAGCTAAAATTAACACAAAGAAGCACAAAGAATTTTGCCAATTTAGCAAACATTTGTTGAATGTTGCTCAATGTGCAAGTATTAGCTGTATCTCTGGAGAATAAACTAGTGAATAAACCATGTCTGCCCTCCAGAAGCTCACAGTCCAAGTGGAGAAAACAATTAGACAAGGGATAAATATGATAGAATACGAAATGTTAAGAGGGAGTTAGAGGGCATAAAACCTGATATTCAGAGCATTATTATGGCTCACATTCATTTAAAACATTTTAATAACTTTCCAGATTAATAAGAGAAGGGGACATATTATACTAAAATCTTGTGACAGAAGCAAAGGCAAATAGTATGGATTGAAGTAATATTTTTTAGAAGTGGCATTTAGTTCATTTTGCATGAAATGAGGAAAGAAAGAGAAGCTAGAGCCTGATTACCAAAGTAGCAGGACCCTAATTTAAGGAGCTGTGTTTTTGCAGCATTTCTGGTTACAGGGAAACGAGAGATGGCATTGTGAAGATCAGCCACTAGAACCAAAATTTGTTGAACTAGTGGGAATCTGTCCTCTTGGAGGATTTAGCTTCTCACAGAGAAGAGTTTGCTACACTAATGTTACACTTAGTAAATGAAACCTCTTTGGAAAGAAAAATGCACATGTAATGGAAAGACTTAGACATTTTCCAGCCTCAGTAATTTTAAAATTATAGTTTGTCAAAGCAAATATTCCATGGACAAAGTTAAACAGGTAAGCAAGTTTTTCTTCAAGTCTGTTGCAATATGGGAGAGAAACCAGAACTCAGTCTTTACCTGATAGTGCTGAAACAAAGGTGGTGGGGCAGGATTTTTAAGTGCTGGGGTAAAAGAGAGAACACAGGCCATTGCTGATTGGCTTTACCTAAAGGAAAAGTAAACTTTCTCCTATCTTTTTGAAAGAAGGTAGTTTTACCAATTGAAGCAAAGTGCCCACTCAAATTATGTTCCCAACCACCCCCCCCAAAAAAAAACCCTGAGAGATAGGAGTGCTATTTCCCTTGAGGTTGGCATTTCAAAGAGATGGCTTCCAGGTCCTTGATGAAAACATTCCTGGGTTGTAAAACTGACAAGAGGCCAGTTTTTTTTTTTTTTAAATTTAAAATAATTTACATCTCAAAGAGGTAGAGATTTATAATTACAAGTTTTCTAAAGTAAATGCTCTAAGAAAAGGGAGATCAAAGGCCTATAGTCAGGAAGTAGACTGTCTAAATTTTAGCAAAACTGAGGGGACTTTAAGACCACCTTGTTCAATTTCAATTTGCATGCAACCTGAAATAATAGTATAAAAGATCATTGGCTTCCCAGGCAAGAGGTAGAAAACAAAACCACATTACTGTTTCTTGGAAAGAGAAGAATCACAAAGGTAACACTTTAGGAATCCTTCTAGCAACATAAAAGCATAGATCCAACACTTACAGACTCCATGGCCTGGCAGCCTTGCATTTCTCAAGTGCAAAACTAGGTCAAAAGACACTTATCATCGTGTAGCAAAAAGTTGGAAGGTGCTTCAAAGCTCCCTGCTGAATGTAATGACCCAGATTTTTCTCTGCTTTGTAGAGGGCAGACCAGATACAAAGCTGCTGTTAAGTTACCACTGCCACTCTGGTCTTTGCTCCCATAACCATTCCTCCCTGGTAGTTGATAAATTTCCAATTGTTAGTTTATAGAAATGTGCTTGATGAGCAAATCATTTACATCATAATATGGGGGGGCTAGCCACAATATAAAGTATGTACCTTATCTTTTGCTATATGCAATGTAAGAAATTATAACAATAGAAGAGATCAAGTGAACAATGGTATAGCAAGGGAAAAATAGGAAGTATCTCTATGTGTCTATTTAGCTCACCTGCTAGCTGATCTCTAAGCTTTCCTTTGTAAAAGCTAAAAATAAATGCATCACAGAAAAGGGGAAAGAATGAATGAACAGTGAGCTCCTTAAAGGGTCATCCAATTGGGAATATTTTCTTGAATTCTGAAGTTTGAGAGGCTTTGGAGAAACTAAGGAGGCTTAACTATGTCAAGAATTGACAGTTAACTACTAGCTGTAGAAGTACTGCACCCAGTAGAGATGGGTAAGAGACTTTGAAATGATTTAAACAGATAAAATTTTCCATGAGATCTGGAAAGTCTTTTACGCTTGAAAGAATCATATATAGCTAATTTTTATCTCAGAAATTAAAGAAAATAATGAATGGATAAAGTACCTTGGAATAACTTGCTAACAGAGGTAAGCTTCCATGATTATAGAGTTTAATAATCTTTGATTTGAAGAAAGAGGAAGCATTCTTTAAAGAATTCATAAGGTAAAATTTTTACATGTAAGATGTGGGAGACATTCTCTCTATTTCTTTTTCTTTTTTCCTACTCAATCAAATTAGAATGAGAAAGGATGGGACCAGGGGCCTCGCAGAGTTTCAATAAGAACCAAAGCAAATATTTAGAGATTTTTTTTTTTTTTCTGGTAATTGGGAAGAATGACCTGGGTAAAAAGGGGTGACTGCTGGGTAATAGCTCAAACAAAATTAGAATTTTTTCTAAAGGAAAATATATATAATAATAAACAGGTTAATACTAGTAACATGTAAGGTAGAATAAAGAAAACCAAAAAGGTCTTTGTGTTGACAACATAAAGAAAACATTCTTGACAGTATGGAGGGTAAAGATACAATTATAAAAATGAAGATTAATTATTAAAGTATCAAAACTACTTAAAATAAAAGGTACTATAAGGTCAATTTTTTCACACACTATAATAGCTCAGGAATGAAAAGGAAATGAACATTTCTGCTGGTGTTAGAAAGAATTGTATGTCTAACAGGAGAGTTCATATCACTTGTCTAAATTCTTGATTAACTTTAATTTCTACTTTTTAAAACTTTCCATTGGGCTTTCTTTATAGTTTACTTATTAGGAAATCTGAGTGAGATCTTAGTCATGTATATGAACAAAGGACAATTTAGCAACTGTGTATGTTATAAAATAGTGTCCTTTTACCATTGGTGTCTTAAATTTAAAGTTTGAATACTTAGTTTTAATCCAGAGAATATGTAATTATAAGATAGTATATCAGTTTTTCAAAATCAAACCATAATTTAATTAAAAAATATGTGAGCACTTGTTTGGGGTCACACTAGGTATTACAAAATAAAATATAAATTGAAACATTAAAATGACATAAACCTTTAAACAAATTTGGTAATGAATAGACTTACTGGAGTGAAATGGTTCTTTACTTTTGTTTTCAAAACTGGTAAGATCTATGTATCAGTATCCACTTAATGGCATTCTCAGCTGTATAGAGTCAAACGTACTTAAAAAGAGCGTTTTAAACATTTTCCTACATGCAACGGTGTTTCAATTCTGTAATTGTACTCATCTAGAATAAAGATCTGGGGTATCATTTGTTTAATCTACAATAAACCCTGTGGATTGGGATAATGAAGTCAAGGTTGTTCTGGAATTATTCTACAGAACATCTTCAGAAGGATGGAATCAGAGAAGAAAAGAAAAAATATGTTTACATTTTCTCGTCATTCAACTTCCAAATTACTTAAAAAGTTAGAGATATAGAGAACTTTAGAAATTCTATCCTGAGCATTATAAATGTTACAAATGAACACTTTTCTATGGCTAAGTATGTGACACAAAGCAGAGGCACCAAAACTACTTTTTATTGAGAATTACATATTTGCTATCTCAGATAAGCATTGACAAAATCATCATAGCATAAATCAGAACTTTGTTGGTCTCCTTTGAATTAATATGAAGGGACAGATTTTTTTTCAATGCTTAAGAGACTCTGAAGTTCTTGATGCAACCCATTCAGTGAGCTAAAGTAACCTGAAAAAGATCAGTAGTAAGATCTACTACTATTACTAAAGTAATCTATTACTAGAGTAAAATGTCAGAGCACAAATTGAATGGTATTATCTCTACTGAATCAATGTCCTTTTGTAGAGTGTTAGTTACAATGGAGTTCCTTGGAGTGGCTTATGACTATCTTGCCCTCATAACACTTTGGGTAGCTTAAATCGACTCCCCTATTGTTAGGCTCACTGCAGGTCTGAGTCATACTTCCTCCCAGTCTAGTGCTTCTAGTGGTTCTCTGCAGGAGCTAGTGATACCTGACAACCTCAGCACATGAAGGCCTGATAGTTCTTGCTGCGTGATTACACTGAATGCCTCTCAAGTTTTACTGCATGCCCACTTATGTGCTGGGCCCTATGATGGGCTCTGGAAGACAATATGCTGAATTACACACATTCTCTGCCTTCAAGGGACTTTCCAATATAGGGTTTCAAATAATTAATTTTTGCTATCTTCTTTTGGTATAAACATCCTTTTAGATATACACAGCCTAGTGTTTCCTCATTAGAGAATGTTGTAAAGCCAATTTTGAAGGCTACTATATTGATTGTGTGAATATCAATTCTAGC